TATATATATATATATATATATATATATAACATTTTAAAAAAGTTATTCAAAATAAATATTTATAAATATTTATCTAATTACTTACTAATATTGTATGCTATCTGGGTTAATACTTTAAATCTTAACAGTACTTTGCGTAAGTATTTCATCACTTAACAAAGTATTATATATTAGTATTTTAATATTGACAATGTTCTGTGTAAGTATTTTATCACTGGACGAAGTATTACATATCAATATTTAAGTATTGCAATCAATCATACGGTAGGATTTGTAACATTAGATATTGAAATACTTGAGTACTAAAAGCTGTATTTGAATCACAGAATATTACTAAATACTGTACTTTTAATACTGAAAATAAGTAATTAATCAATGATTCTTAGTATGATATTTCTATAAGGGCATCGCTTGTTGTTTATTAAAAAGTTATTAACAAAAAAGTTTCATTAATGCCATATAGTTTTGCGACACCGCATAAATTAGTATATACATATAAAAACGCAAAATATACGTATATACGCGGGAGAAGGGCATGCCCCTCTCCCCACACCTCTTTTCAAAAAAATTAACCCTAACCTAACTTATCTATTGAAATATAATAGTAACTGTATATAGATAACCCAATCTTTATATCTTTATACATAATTTATCAATGGAAAACAATATAAGAAAACAACCCAGACAACACATAATATTTACAAAATATTTTAGAAATATAGATATTAAATATTTTATAAATATTCTAATGTCCGAGATTTTCCTTATAGAAATGTAATACTGATAAGTAATAATTTGGCCAGTGATAATTCCTGTAACAACAGTAATTATCACTGGCCAAATTATTACTCATCAGTATTACATTTCTATAAGGGTTTCAAGTATGAAAAAGATTATGATAAATATTTAAAAATATTTATGAAAAATATGTATCATAAATATTTTATAAATCACAATCTTTTTTATAAAAGTATTTATGAAAAATGTTTTTCATAAATACTTGTTATCATAAATATTTTTAAACCTCAGCGCGGTGCGGTAAGACATAGGAGCGTAGCGATATAACTATAGCCAGTGGTGTCTTGTCTTTCAATCGCCACGCGAGACATCCGCGCGCTATATTACTGGGATGCATTATGACTCGAGTGGTCCGTCCTTTACCATTCAGCACACGCTTTTTCTTAATCTTTCGTAATTAATTTCTCGGTTATTATTACGAATTTAGTAAAACGGTATAAGATTATTTATATTTATATTTATTATAAATTATATTTTATATTATATATTTATTTTAATCCGATATTTTATCCGATATTTTATATTTATTTTAATCCGCTCTACGCTTTCATGAAAGCTTCGTAGATTGTTCTGAGACACCCTATACACACACACACACATACACACATACAGGGTTGGCAAAAAGTCCGAAAACGGTCAAATATCTCGAAAAGGATTAACTGTAGCGACAAATATGTAGATATATATATATATATATATATATATATATATATATATATATATATATATATATATATATATATATATATGT